TCTCTCTCTCTCTCTCTCTTTGTATTTGGTGCAGGGTCTCACTATACAGCTCAGACTCAGTGATCCTCCTGCTTTCAACCTCCCCAGTGCTGGGATTACAGGTCTATGCCATGACATCTGGTCTTGGTGGCCAGCTCAGCATGTGCAGGGCAGGGCAGACAAGGCGTGTGGGGTAAGGGATCAAATCCTGGTTCCTGATCTTGCCTAAGCAGGTGCTTAGTCCACTGAGCTATGGCCTCTGTTTCTGAGTTGGACATTCTCTAAGTCCATGTGTCTCACAGAAGGAATACCAAGAAAGCTCCCCTTTATCACACAACAAATGTGACTGCTAATCCACACTGGTAAGGTTGGAATTTACTGGAAGAGACAGAGTTGTTTACTACCTGCGAGGTTCAGCAGGCCTGGGAAGTCCACCTATGATGAATAAAGAATGAACTGTCATCTGGAAGTAGGCTAAAGACCCTCACAACTTGACACTACAGGAACTAGACAAGAGCTGGATGGGTGGGTAGATAGACGCATGGAAGGATGGGTGAGTGGGTGGGTGGGAGGATGGATGGACAGATGGATGGATAAATGGATGGATGGATAAGTCTTGTCCAATTTCAAAGTCTGTAAGGATGGCAAGAAAGATACTCATTGTTTCTAAAATGTAATTTGTAGCCTAAGGAAACCTAGGTTCTCAGAATACTTGGCTTATTTTTCTAGTTCTAAGTATTATTTTTTTTAAAATATCCTTCACAAAAGGGCTCCTCTAAGACTGGGCAATCATTCTCAAACATACTTACATTTATAGCTGCCCTACTCTGTGTGTTTATGAAACACAAAGTGATGTCATAATTTACAAAAAATATGGAAAAAAATCAAATGAGTGTATTACTTATCTATGGCTTCAAATGCTTATTATTTTTGCATTGAGTTTAAAACATACACATATTTATTTACCACACTATACAGCAGATACCAAAAAGAATGAGTAGGTCACTAATACCCGGTACCAACACCCAGATTCACAAATGAGTAAGAACCATCATTAAATTTTCATGTCTTGGTTTATGAAAGGTATATACCTCTGGTTGAAAACAGATCACTAGTCATTTGTGTCTTGATATAAATTAATCTCTCAGATCCTTTCTAAAACCCAACTGTAGAATGTATCACTGAAAGATGTAGATCTGACTAGAATTCTTGGAGACACAAAGGGAGCACTGTGAAGTCCCACACAAACCTTGCTGACATCTTCACTTTAGGCAATCTGAGCCATTGAGACACCCCTGGCACCTACCAAAATGACAGCATCCCCCACCAAGGCATCTTCACTGATGACAGCACTGTAGACATCCTGGCTGAACCTGGGAGGGTTGTCATTCACATCTGTGAGGTTGATGCTGACAGTGGCTGCAGCACTGAGAGCTGGGGTTCCCCCGTCTTTAGCTTCCACAACCAGGAAAAATGTTTTGCATGACTCATAGTCCAGGGCTTCAGACACAGAAATACCTCCTTGGGATAAAAATAAGAAACTTTAGATTTGACTAGGGAGAAAACATTGGTCATTTGATCCATAATTGTGGTAATATTTGCAATATCACTTTCAGCCAGAAATTTTAAATATTCAGGATTTCACTTAATGCCTCCTTGGAAGCATTCCAAAAGTCTGATTAATGCTGTCAGTTAAAGCTCAGCTATATGTCAAACACAATACCGAAGAAGAAAAACTTTTGTAAGTTTCTGTAACAGTTTTTGAATATCTCTGACACAGCATGAAAATCTCTGCTCTTACATCTCAGGAGTGGGGACATAGGCCAGCATTTCTGATGAGTCTCTCCTGATTTCCCAACTCAAGAAGACTAAGAACGAGTTGAGATGTGTGGGTGTGATTGTTGTCACCCTGCTCCCTGTCAGCGCATAGAAACCTGTAGACTTAGGCTGAATTTACTTAGCCAAGAAGATGCTTTGCCAGATTATAATGCATATACAAAAAACTACTATGGCACAAAGAAGACAAAGATCTCTGGAAGCTTCAGCAAAAAAACAAAACAAACAAACAAACAAAATTACCTGGGAATCAGACAAGTCAGTGGCCAAATATTCAACTTGAGTTCTCTATGCACACTTACAGAACATACATGTCACAGAAGTATTAAAATTAAGCAAATAAAATAAAGGAAAGCAGCTAGTTGAGTGCCATCTCTAGGAAGGGCTCTCTGAATGCGACATCCCTCTTGTCCCAGCCCTCCCTGGTGAGGTGACCCAGTCCTGTGTTCTGAAGGTTGTCACCGGTCTTTACACAGCTACAGACCAGTGCTCAAGGGCATTTGCTTTTCTCTCAACTGGAAACAGTCAGTAGAACAGGTGAGGTCACAGCCATACACAAAACCAGAAAACTTGTCTACTTGCTAAGAGTACTGATAGGCTGCTACCACTTCAGGTGTGAAACTGATTATATCAATAACAACAGCCTCTCTCTTCCCATAATTCAGTTTCCTTAGCACTTACCACCCCAGTGCTTTACTTTGTACCCTCATCTAGCTATCTGGTGCTGAATTTAAATAGTATTTAACTATTTTCCCATAGTGTTTACATACAATGGCTATCATTAGATAGGAAAAGGTTAATACTTATTTAAATGAAGGAAACCCCCGTACATTTTAATTTGAAGTAATGACCTTAATAAACAGAGATACTGCTGGGAAAAGCTGCTAACGCACTTTCTCTGTCAATGTTTCTACCTACTTGTAATTAAGATGAGGACAATGTCTCCTGAATTGTTTGCATCTTCATGGTTAGTTGTGTTATCGTATATCAAGGTTAGAAGCAGCATTCCAGAGTCAGGAATATTTGAATTCAAATCTTGAATATTTACTAACAATGGGAACACTTAAACTCCCAGATGGAAAATGTGAGGATTATCTAAAGATTTAATAGGAAGTGAGCATATTTGCCATGTTAAATAAACACTGCTAATTATGAAAGCTTCTTTGTAGGTACTGACTACTCAAAAGAGAACAGATCTTCTTTGTCACTTTGCTTAACAGGTATATAGGACTTGAATGATGAGGGACAGAGGTTCTTAAGGAGGCAAGGTAAAAGACTTCTTATCTAAAAAATGGGAACTGCTTTAACTGTTTATAGGGGGATCGGGAAACAAATGAGAATGTACATGAAAGGACTGGTTTTTTTTTTTTTTTTTTTTTGTATTTTTTTAGGGAAGGGTCTACAGGGCATTCAGGGTCTCACTACTAGATTGGACTTGTAATGAACTACCTGTTTACAGCCTCCCAAGAGCTAGGATTACAGGCGTGCACCATCACATTCAGTCTCTGAAAGGGCTTTTAAATAGAAATCCAAACAGTAGGAAAATAAAGAATGTATATATTTCGTTTTCAAAGGATGGGCAAACATCCTTCTTACATTATGATTTTATGTACCCAAATTGCTTCTAGGATTAACTCACGGATAAACACCAACAACAGCTGTCTTCTTGTTGTTTTGACTTTTATGTAACTTTTCCCCAGGTGACGCTACCCATTCCCCCCGAGTCGGAAAAGCTCACAGCTAGAAATGAAGGCATTGTGATTAAGGAGAGTGAGCACTATTTCCAATCAACTGGGCTGCTTGTCTACTTGGGGTTATTGGTTTGGGGAGGCCATGCAGGTCACCATGCAGAGTATAATCAATGTCTGCCTTGGCCAGTGCCTAGACAGCAGCAGTACAGGTATACATGGTGGCCAGGGGAGGCTCAATTCCTGCAGCATTTTTTTCCCCCAATATATGCAATATGGTCCGATATGGTCCAAGAGAGCTGCAAACAAATGTTTTTGTATGGAATATGAACATTACTTTATCCCCACATTGAGGAAGCACATGTGTGCTCCAACTCTTCCAAAAGTCAACTTGAAAGTCAAGTATTTGCCAAGTAGGTCCGTGCCTAGAAGATTGGAATTTAGCCAGAAGCAGCATGCTGGGTGTATGCTGGGTCTGTGTGCAGATCCTGCCACCAAAACACTTGCTTCTTCTGGGAAGGAGGGAGAAGGAAAAAGAGCCTACCAAGGATGGCGGCTTGAGTGTTGAGAGGAGAGAGGTAGGATAGAGTGGAGCCTTGAATGTGAGTACAATGCTATTACCTACCTGTCTTTGGATTGATCCTAAATTTTCCCTGTTCATTTCCAGACCGGATAAGATATGTAATCTCAGCATTTGTGCCAATATCTTTACTGGTGGCAAAAACAGCCAGAACTTGGGTGCCAGGAGAGGTGTCCTCAGGCACTGTCACCAGGTAGTCCCTCCTCTCAAACACAGGTGGGTTATCATTGATGTCCAGGACAGTGATAGTAATGGTAGCAATAGATGATAGAGATTGTCCAGGACTCTGGTCGGTGGCTTGCACACTGATGTTGTAGGAAGACTGCTGCTCTCGGTCCAGCGGCTGCTCCAAGGTGATGATTCCGGAAGAGCTGTCGATGGAGAAGAAGCCATTGGCCGAGAATGCCAGAGAATACACCACATTCCTGTTGATGCCTACGGTAGACAAGGCAAGAACGTGAGTGGCCAGGATCATGGTCAGGTGCTCTGCGCTAAAACATTACAGCTTCCCTGACTTTTGCAGGGTCACCACAGAAAAATGGTCACTACAGAAACAGAGGTTGTCTCACACAAATGTAAACTTCAGTTTGTAAAAAAGTATGCAATTCATTTAAAAGCTAAAGCAACTGGAAAAATATTGGCAATAAATATCAGAATTAATTGGGTATTCTTTTCGTTTGTTTGTTTGTACACACAGGGCCTCACTATGCAGACTGGACTCATAGTGATCCTCTTGTTTTCAGCTTCCCCAGATCTGGGATTACAAGTGTGTGCCACCATGCCTGGACTCAATCACTGGCTCAGCGAGCCCAGGGTTAGGGCCTGCATTACATGTGGTATCAGGGATTGAACCCTGGTCCCTGCATTTGTCTGAGCAGGTGCTTAGTCCGCTGAGCTATCTCACTGGCCCTCAATTGGGTATTCGTAATGTATCACCCCAGATCTTTAAGAAAACCACTGAAACATTAATAGATATATGGGTAGAGATTAACCACAAAAAGAGAAATATAAATAAATTCCTTCAACAAATACATCTCTAGAATGTACCAGGACATATTCCAAGTGCTACAACTTCTGGCAATGGGTGAGAGCCCAGCGTTTCTGGAGGAAAGTTTTATATTCTATGAAGTGATGGTTGTGATATGTACACTGTGAGTGTTGGGATGTGGCTTAGATACTGAGGGGACATCTCCAGTGGCTGCCAGACTGCAAGGAACCAGAGAGATTGGTCAGCAACCTGCGGGATTAAGGGTTGTGATACTAGTAGCTTGAATGTGGGGCATGGAGTGGAGACGGGTGAGAAGGGTCTGGGCTCCAGCTCTCCTCTGAGCACACAGGTGCTTAGGAGCGAGGGCATCTGGGGATATTTTCTCAACAAAGGAACGTTTTCTGGTGGGAAAACTGGCAGGACACAAGACGCTAGGGGAAGAAAAGCTTGCAGGAGGACACTGGCGTGAAAGAGAGTTGCCACAGCTGAGATGGAGAGTGCCGCAGAAGGAGCAGATTTGGATGAGACACCAGGGGGCCTATTAGGATTAAATCTGAGAGCAGGGTGTGATGGTGCATGCCTTCAACCCCAGCACTTGGGAGGCTGAGGCAGGAGGATCACTGTGAGTTCGAGACCAGCCTGGGCTGCAATGTGAACTAAAGGTCGGGAGACCCTCTCTTAACACCCCTGCCAAATGATTAAGTTTGAGAGGTAGATTTGATATTCAGTGGATATAGCAAATGGAAACTTAGGTAAAAGATGCTAAAGTTCAGAGAAGGAGCCCAAGCTGGAGCCATAAATTTGAGGATCATCAGTGTACAGGTAACACCCAACATCACGAGCCTTGCTGAAGCCATGGTGGAGGACAGAGGACAAAAAGAAATCCCCGGGGCCAGCGAGCCTGGAGCACTCCATCAAGAGAGTGCTCCAGCTCTATCTCAAGAAATGCACTTAATTACCCAAATATTATTTATCTACCATAAAATTAAAATGTCTCAACCAGGAAATGCCCAGCAATAGCCAACAAATTACTGAATGACTGAACTAACATCTGGTTTGAAGGATGCTTTTGTTGGAGGATCTCGGCATTTCAAAATGATTCAGACACCTCAAATTTGCACAAAAAGAAAAAAAAAAATCCATACAATTAAATGAAAAGCTAAAGAAACTGGAAAAATATTGGCAACAAATATCAGAATTAATTGGGTATTCTTAATATATACCCTTATTCCAGATCTTCAAGAAAAACTCCAAGATGCTAATAGCTACATGGGTGTCTGATATGTTTTATCTTTTATGATGAGCTTTTAGTCATTATCATTTATAAGAATGAGAACATTACAGTTTTGTTGGTGGAAAAGTGGTAGCACCACTGTAACTACACTTGTTCTTAATGAAAAGTCTTCAGTCAGAGAGCTCTAACTCTGCCAACTATCTCCTGTGAATCATAGAACCCTTGAATATAAGCTGAGGACTACTTATGTTTTCTTTCTAGCATAACACCTCACCAAGAAGGCAGACATTTGCCAATAATAGGACTTAAACATTTTTCCCCAATACACAATTTTCCTTCAGTCTAAATTCCCAGCAAACCAGTGCAATCATATATCTGAAGGGATGACATGAATCTCATTATGTGGCTTTAACCAAAAGGTCAACATGGAGATATTGCTCTTGGTTTCATTCCAGAGAGTCCATTTTTTCCCAGAGTTTCATTTCCTTTTATGTCTCTTTCTGAATATCCTTGCCCAGTCATATATAAATGTCTGCCCCTGATTTTATTTGTGCTGAGGTTGAAAATAAGAGGGTTTTCTCCCTTGCCATCCCATGAAGTAAAACTCTACAGCAGACCTTATAGGGTGCTTTCTGGGTAGTTGTGGAGTGGTACAAGAGTAAATTCTCTGACATAAATTCTTAGACTAAAAATATGGAGGGCTGTGGAGGTGATCGAGCATGTACGTGAAAAGTAATAGCCCTTTTTGATGTCCGTGGAGCATGCGCCTTGGAAGCTGCCTTGACAGATTTGGTCCTCTCAGGACACTGTTAAAGTCATGAAGGTGCGTTTATGGAAATACAGCAGTAACTGACATAAATACGTGACGTAGGCTTTCAAATCACGCATATTCTGTACAGATTTGAATTTCAGTCCAACACGTGGTGGACTGTTTTTGCCAATAGGAAGAGCAGGCTGGTGAGCAGGAATGACTACAGGATCTTGTATCTGCCTATGTTTTGACAGCTCTAAAGCCCATTTCACTGAGGCATTAGCCAAGGGTTAAGGGACTTGTCTGTGGCCACCAGCAACTTTAGGCATGCCTGAGAGGTACCAAACAAATTCCTGTTTCCCTCTGGTTCCTTGCTCAGCCCCCTTGAAGATTTTAAGGTATCTGTACCTGGAAAGTTAACTTCTTCAGACCTAAATACCATTTAGGGCAGTAATTTTGGACTCACTGTCCTGGAACTGTTGAGTAAGGAGAGGTAAGAGGTTGGATTGTACCCTTGTACTCTATGGTGCTTTGCAGCAGAAAGCCCCAAAGGAAGCAGCATTCAACAGCTGCTTGTGTTTGCTTCATTTGGACAGATAGCTGCAGTCTAATTAAACATGTCCCCTAGGTCCCAGGGCTGCAGCTTTCTCTTCGGCCTTACTCGGGAGCGTTTGGCAAGGCTCTGATCCCTGAAGGAAGGAAGGAAGAGATGCCCTGTTCTGCAAGCTCCCCGCTCAGCAGGGCACCCCTGTTGTTGGAGAGCTGAGTTCACACAGCTGACAAGCATCAGCCACAAAGACCACAGCTTCCCTCCGGGCAGATTCTGTTCATTTAAACTTGGTGGGGGATAGTTTTTCCACTTTGCCCCAGCAGAAAGCCATGCTCCCTTCCGACTCACTGACCCACTTCCCAACCCCCATCCTACCTTCCTACAGAATCCTCTGCATTCACAGGAGGAAGAACTGGGGGATTTACGGTTCCCCTCACCTGTCTGTTACCAACCAGACTGAGATGCAACAAGACTAGCACAGTGGGGTGGGGGCTACCCTACTCTACAACTTGGTAGACAACATCACTTATGATTTGCTAGTTCTCGAGAAAATGCTGAACAAACTTAGAACATATTAAAACACTAATTCAGGAACAATTGCAATGATTTCAATAATTTTTAGATATCAAGTCAGACATTCAAAGGCAAATTCAGGGGCTGTACTTCTGGTGAGGCTTCCAGGCGATGCAGTGCTGGTTCTGTTAAATGAATACAGTTCCTGTCACTAAAGTGGAAACTTTCTAGCCAAAGAGGTCTGATAAATGCCATCCTTCAAGTTGCTACCCTTTTACTACATAACCAGCAGAAAAGATGAACCCTAGCGGAACACTTGCTTGCTAATTGGTGTAATGCTCCTGCTGCATGTCACAACGAGTTATATTAAGGTATAACATTAATCCATCACTTTGTGTCTGTGTTTTTTTAGTATGTAATTCTCCTCTCCAATTTGAGTCTAATTTAATGAGTGAAGATGGAGCTACTTAGCTTCTTAAAATGCTGAAATTCTGGACTACCAAAAGAAGTTTGATTTTCATTATAAGTGAAGTTTTTGCACATTAGCTGTGGCAAATGGAGCAGGCAGCTCTTCAGAGAATTAAAATCAAGTAAAAAGAGAATGATTAAAATCCTTATTTGCTCAAAGGAAGTAATCATGGCATTTTGTAGCATAGGATCGAGGGAGAAAAGTAGCATATAGAAATTTCTGGTAGGGAAGGCTGTGAAATCCTGGTGTGAGCAGCCAGCACACGTACACCTTTTTCCTTGGAAGGGTTCTAAATGGAGACTATGTTTCTCCCACTTTGGCCAAACAGAAGAATGGACATTTAGATATAGAACTATTTATAGTAAAAGTCAATGTTTAAAGTGAAGGGAATGTGGTCTAGTGTTGAAAGGCAGGAGGCCTTGCTTTGAATGTATGAGCTGAACAAATTATAAACACATATTTGGAAGCCATTTAACTCCATCGTGTCTCACTGTTAGACTGGGAAATACCAAGTAAGGTGGTATCTGAGATTATCTCCAGCATTATGATTCATTTTCAAATTCAACAAATATAGCCTGCCTTATTTCTGTTTCCAGTGGACTTCCCCCACCCTCCCACTGCTCATCAAGTTGTTGGACTTGAGCCTACAGGGGCCAAAATTAACACAGTAGAAGTCCACATTAAGCTAGATAACAATGAGTTATTGGAATCAGCTGGGTAAGAAGTAACAACACAGCGATTCATACAATTCAGTTTACTGTTCAAGAACCACTCATATGGTTTATGGTGATACAAAATTTTATGCTATAGAAAGAAATAATCCCTAGTGCTAGGTTAATGCCTAAGGATCTAACCCAATAGCAGGATGACTTAGCTCCACATCTGAGATTGTTGCAGGCATTGGAATCGGCCCCAAATCAAATCAGAACA